TTTAATTGAATGGATTTCTGAATTGTATTATTCTCCTCGTTTGTTATTTGTTTCAGCTACAATTAGTTTTCAAGCTTATCGGAAAGTGCTCTTACGGTTCTGGCAGCTCAAATTCGTTGAAAAACTTTACAAAATGCGGATAATCTGTTGATGAAAATTACACAACGTGAACAGTTTAATCTTCTTATATTTTTACTCATTTACAAAATTAAAATACTTCAGATATTTCATAAATACATTTGTGTTTTTTTGGTTATATACATTTTGTTTATATTTTGGACAATGCATATTGATTTTATGTTATTAAATATATTTTAAAGAGGCAAATATTTAAATTGAAAACTAAAAAATGTCTTCTGAAAACGTGGGCACATTTCACTTAGCATTCTCTTTACACGCAACATAAACTAGTCGGCTGTATCTGTCCGCAAGAAAAGAAGGAAAACTGGGAAATATTTGTTTATCTCAACGTATCTAACTATGTTAGGCTACAAGCCTGCATTTCCTGCCCACCACTCCACTCCACTCTATACGGCTCCCGAGTCGTCCTCGGGCGAATTTGAAACCGAAAATGGCGAAATATGTATGTGAAACCTTGGCTCGCCTCGGGCGTGTTGTTTTTCTGTCCCGGCTTTGATTTTGATTTATGTTGCAGTAAACACACAGCCAGCCGAAGAAGGAGAAATGGCATCAGCATTGGCAACGGCAGTGGCAGCGGCAACCTCATTTGCTACTTACTGTGTCGCATCATTTCACCATAGACGACACACCCCGCCGGCGCCACCATATCTAACCATAACCCCTGACCCCATAGAACCACCCAGCCCAGTTCCAGTGAATCTCAGTTAGACAACGCATGCCAACGCACGGAAGCTGTGATTTTTTTGTCTCTGGTTTGCCTGTTGTTCCGCAGGATTCTCTCCAACGACAAGGAAAATGTTTGCCATCCCTCGAAAGCTTCTCACATAATTGTGGTGTCGGTTGGCGGTGGTGCGTCGGTGCAAAAAAGCCAACGGGAAAGTCAGTCCTTGTTCTCGTTTTCAGATGTCCCAAATAATTCATTATAAATCGTTTTCCATATGCATATAACTAGTTTTTAAATTTATAAATATAATTCATTGGCTTTCATCTGACATTAAAATGTAAACAATAATCAATTTAATGCCATTTAAATACGTGATTTGTATTTTTTTAAATCGTTTAGTTCCTGTATTTTATTTCAGCTTTATCTTGATGTATCTGATATCCAAATGACAAATTCGAATCAAAATAATTAATAGTGAAGACCTTTTCATTTCTATGAAATACTTTCTGTTTAACTTTGTATCTTTCTAAAATGAGAAATAAAAATAACTCAATTATGGCCAGTAGTGTAGAGATTTTGAGAACATCTCGAATGCAGTAATTTTTGGCAGTCGTTCTGTGAGTGTTTACGCTTTATAAAATGCAACATTTTCGGCGAAGGCAGCATTAGAATCCAGCCTGGCAGTTGGCAAGGCGACAAACTTGCTTTTAGCCCGACCCTAGGCTCTGGGCAATAAGACGCGTAACGCTTTGTTTGACTTGAATTTATGGTGATGTTTCTTTTTACCCCATTGCTTTTTTTGGCAAGCCCCCAGCTGACTCATGGCGGAGTGCCTGGGATGGCAGACAGTGTCTGGTTGGTTTGTCTGGCACTTGTTCCAGAAATGTTTTAATTCCTTTGGCTCGACACAATAATTTACACACTCGGCCATTAAATCCTTGTTTGACTTGCTTCCAGCCAATAATTATGTTTGCACATTTTATGTAGTCAGCGGCATCCCTATTAAAATTTGTACGACAATTCGTTAGTTTGTTGCTCTGTCATAATAATTCATTGCTTTTATTTTTTGTGCTTGTGTTTTTATTTCTGGAATTCGTTTCTTTCTTTTGGTTTTAACATATAGACATCAAAATTGATTGCTTACTTTTTGGCTGCTGCGCCTGTTTATATGGTTAGTCAGCCGCCAAGCACGTACTAAAATTTCTATCCCGCTGTGAGTATACTTTTTATGATTTATCAATATTCCCCGATCGTAACTTTGCGCTGATATATTTTAGTTATTTCTATGAAGCCAGTCCTATTGAAACTGTTTTTGTATTTATGTTGCTTGGTTCCATAACTTTGTATTTGATATTATTAAAAAAATGCAGATGATAGCAGCTTAGCATATTTTCTTTTTTTTTGAAAATTTATAAATATTGGCATTTCCTTCTTTTAAAAGATGGAAAGAGAGGTTATTTTAGGTTCCAGCTTTACCAAGCAACTTCAAATATTAAGTACCTTCGCAAATGGCTAATTGCATTATAAGCAACTAACAAGAACTCTGAACGACAGGTCAGCTTAAGAGCTTTATTTCTAAAATGTTTCGAAACACAAATCATACAACTGAGAACTAACAACTGAAAGCCACCAAAGAATAACCATAACCACCAGTTTGGAAAGAAAAGTGTGGGGTAATCCAAAGAGAATTTTCCATTAACGCACGTGTGTGCTGGCGCCCAAGACCAGGACCTCCTCAGCTTGCCAAATTGCAACAAAAAGAGTTTGAAGCTCGGTTTGGGAATCTCAGTTTGAGTTTGGCATGAGGGTTGCATTTTGGGGCGAAAAGCCAGCTTCGCAAACTGACTGACAAAACCTCAACGTGCCACTAAAAGCATAATCATGCACTTAACTAAAGCCCAGCCAAAGGTTGTTGTAACCGTTCTGTGGGCAAAGGGAAAGAGTCATGGTCTGGGGCAGGGGCAAGGGCAGGATGTTCCTGGTACTGAGGTAACGCACGAAGAACTTAAGTCATCATCATATAAATAAAAATTTATGACTTTAAATGTGTTTGTGCGTGAGTCGGTATGTTTGTTTGTGTGGGCCCTGTGGTTACTGAAGTACGGTGGAAGCCCCAAGTCATGGTTTATCACCGGAGAGGAGTTACCCCTTTCGGAGTTGTGGAGGGGCGATGACGACATGCGTGACTTTATTTGCACTTGCACCTGCTGAAAGGGTTATTTAAAAAGTGGTGTGAAAACTGGTTACAGTTCTTTCAGTACCCACAAAGTGCTTCTGACACTTTAAATATTTAGCCGATATATGAAATAACTTAATCTTCTTTAAAAAATCAAGAGGTTTTAAAATGAAAACTTTTTCTTATATATAAAAACGTGTAACATCTATTGAGAAAGGGGTCTTAAAGTCTATGGTTCCACCAATGAATAGAAACTCAAGTCAGCGAATGACATTTCACTGAAATCCTTATCTAAAATGCAGCATACTTTCCAGCTGCGTTGTAGTTGATGACCTCTCAAGTGTGCCTAATCACACATAATATTCATGGCAAACAGCTTGAGTTTCTGCACAATTATGACAACAGACAGCTTTTACTTTCTTGTACTTAGACCCATCCCCGAATGTAAATTCTAGCTGCACGAGGGGGCTTGGTAATGCGAGAAACTAACAACGGAAAGCCGCTTGCCCGGCTACTTTTCAAGTTAAAGTTATTATCCTGAGGGCGGAGCCACTTGCAGGACTCAGCCACGCCCCTGCCGCCGCTCCGCCCCCGTGGCAGACTTGACAAAACTCGGCAGACTTTTGAATAAATTTTCAATCTCCAGGACAACGACGAGCTTGGCGAACGAAAAGCGCAGGGAGAAAATCATCAGCAGCAGCATTATGAATATGTAGCTACATCTTCTTAAATGTATCTGGCTGTTGTTCGTGTTGTTGGCTAAGTGAAAAGCCAAAGCCGAGTTGTGCCTGCAACATTTTTAAAAGCCGCTTTACTTTCCCTCTAAGACGGCAACTTTATTAAATATTTTTTTTTTTATTTTTGGGCCAGGCCAGCGAAAACTTTTCTTAACTGCAGCCAACAACGGAAGAAAAAGAACTATCCAAAATAGAATGGAAAGTTCTCTGGCTTTCGTCTTCTTGCACTTCTTGTTTGGCTTGACGTTGGCTGTTAAATGCTTTTAGCCGCTTTTTGTTGCCAACTTTGGCCAGAAGTTCCGCTCGAAATGGTGAACGATTTTTCGTACTTTGCCGAAATATGATTTAATTTCAGCTGATTTTTGGTGATATAAATTTAAAATTAATTAAGCCACTAAACAGCTGATAACAAATCCCCAATTAAACCGAGGACAATTAATTTTAATGCCTCTAAGGCAGAGAATTGTCTTCGGACCGATAAAATGCGGCCAAGAACGAAGTGCGACCATTTCTCTTTGTGGTCAACCGCCATTAACGTTTATTACACCCACCAAGTGCCCAGCAAAAACCAAAGAGCACATGCACAAAAATAAAGCCCCCCGAAATGGAAAAGCCCCGGCAAGAACAACGTTGGGCGAAAAATATAAATTAAAAATAAACATTACGCGGCGACAGACAATGGGTGGGAAAAACCAAGGAAAACTCACAATCCAAAAGGAGGACGAGTCGAAAAAAAGACGAAGAAGTGTGTAATAAAATAAAAGCAGGAGCCAGGTGAAAATTGCATTAGTCCGAAGGAGAGAACGATATATAGACAAAGGATCGAGGGCCATTGTGCAGCAGCATTTTAGGCGCTTAATTGAGCGTTTTAGTTATGCTAATTGTTTGCCAGCAACAAGGACAACAGACACAGGCTAATGGCCCGGTGTAAGATGTCCTTTTGGGTCCCCAATTCCAGCTCGCATTTATTGTTGGCCATTTGTTATAAGTGGCATCCCCGAGATCATTAAAGCCAGGGGGCTAGTGGCCTGCTTTCGGGTCACATCGTGAACTTCTTTCTTTTCCTTCGGCACGCTGACAAATGTTGACCAATTTATTATGTTATTGTGCGGAATAAGGGAGATGATGAAGGTCTGGGGAGACTCTTATTAAGGTAGCAATTAAGTGCTGATTCGAAAAACAAAACAATTCGTTTCCTTTATAATTATATGGACAAGATCTGTGAATTAATTGTCTGAAAGGAGATATTGATAGGATAAACCGTGTATCATTTTCCCTTAAATAAAACAAACTGTTTATTTTCCTCGCTTTTGTTTTTGTTTTTATTTTGATTATCTACCGTAAATTCTTATATCATACATATCTCGATCTTTTTTGGTTTTCGTTTCATTTATATAATATATACAAGTACAATACATATATACTTTTACATATATAGGCAATAATTAGCTTAATACCTAATTGCTTACTTTGCCTTACATTTTGTGTATTTTTGGTTTTCTCTTTGGGGGCAAATACATTTAGGCGTATTACGTTTACATATATATATATTTTTGTTTTTATATAGAACATATACATATATATAAATATCATTTATACGATTTATAAATAATCTTGACTTTGGTATATAAATGTAATGTATAGAGAACCTAAAATTAAAAGCTTAGCACAACAGTTTTCATTTGTCTTGTAAAATGAACTTTGGAGAGGTTCTTAAATGGATGGATTTGAAAATCCAAAAAAAGCAATAAGAATCTTTGAAAATCGCATTGTTTGAAAGCTGCTAAAAGCGTAGTCCTCCTGACCATCTCCATCTTAGGAAAAGTTGAACAAACATATATCGTTGCATTAATGATGAACTGGCGTTTGCTTGTATTTCGCTTATCTTGCTTACATTGTCTTTGTATGTTTTGTATTCCTTTCTTAAATGCATTTGAAGTTACTTTGAGCTAGCTGAAACGAGTGTCTGGTGTGTAAGTGTAAATATTTTAGATACATCCTGCAGTTGCTTCTGGGTCTTGGCCTTGGGCTGAACTCTTCTCTAACATCCTCTAACTATAGCTGGACTCCACTTTAATTTCTACCCCTGAAGTGTGGCACTGGAGTTGCGTGACAATTGAATCATGTTAATTGTCTGATGCATCTGCTGTTGGTCCTGCCGATGCCGCATCCACATCCACATCCTTTCCAGCTGAATTTCAACACCCGCAGGCAGGACTTATGATGCTCCTGCTTTTGCTGCTGCTGATGTTGCCTTTGCTTTGCTGCGATGACCCGCATTCCAAGGGGTCTTGTCCGCCGGATTGTGCACCTTCCGCTCGTGTTGCACGTTGTACCGTTGGCCTTTGTCATCATCGCCTGCAACGGCGACACTAATTGCCTGGCCAGCGTCCAACTGAGCACCGCCATCAGCGATCCACCGACCATCCAACAAGATTGACTCGGACTCGGTCGAGAACTGGACGAACCAGCTCCCCGCCAGGCAGCTCCTCCGTCCCCCAGTCCGCCCTCGGTTCCATCGTCTTCTTCGCCTGAGGGTACAAAATGATAGAAAAAAAAGTCTAGCGAGAAATAGAAAGAAATGCAGACAGAAATGCAGGCCATGTATTCGATGTATTCTGTTACTTCCTCCACATAACTACAGGCCAACTTGCGTAACTCAAACAATGTGTTTTCCTCCTTTAACTTCTCTCTAAGCAAAAAAAAAGTGTTTGAGGGAAAGAAACAAAAACCTTAATCATACTTTAAGACATAATAGTCTTTAAAATCAATCAAACACATAAACTAATAGGTACATTTTATTTGCCAACTTACTGTATGCATCTCAGATAAATAAATAGAAGTTACTGAAGTTTGCCTGTAGTTATATTTTGGAATTTTGTCTTTTTTAATTGAAGTGCTTGTGTAGTGTGAGTTTTGTGTTTTAGGAAAATAATTGGCTGCTGAACTCACCCTGAAGCTGCGTCAAATAGCTGTTCTTCTTGTTATGCGAATTGTCCTCGTGAAGTGCATATTGATCATAGAAATCATCGGGACTCACATGATTGCCATTGGGTCCGCTTCCGTGTTTTGGAAAGAGATCCGCTTCGAGAACAATCTTTTCGGTGGTTTTCCAGTAGACATCATGCAGCTGGGCACTGCAGCGGAGCTGTTCAGGAAAATAATATTAGTATTTTATATGTATTTTTCTCTTTGTATCAATATATAAAATATAAATTAAAAATGGTGCCCACCTTAAGTTTTCCATTATCAAAGTGCTGATCCGTGACCACAAAGTGAATTCCCACAATTGCAGTTTCCATTTCATTGCGTGAATCACGGAGTATTTTATGGTGACGAACAAGACTTGGATTTACCTAAAGTATTTGAAATAAATAGGGATTAGAAAGGAAAAACAATAAGGATATATATTTGGAATGAGGTTATATGTAATGGATATTCTAGTTATACTCAAAACGTTTGGCATCTGTGGCAATTTATATTAGATATTTATAGTAATTTCCCTTTTTAAAGTGTTCAGAGTGCCTCGGAAAGCCTATAATAAATGGAAAAAAAAAAAGTGACAAGTTTGGCATTTGAAGCCATTAACTTTGACTTGTTTTGCCTCTTAACACTGTGACTTTTATTGACTGTCTGTCTGCCAACTAGTTTTCCCTATGTACACCGTTTTCACTTTAAAATCGCCAAAAAATGGGAGATATTTCTTTTAGCTAGTTGAACTTGTTTCCCGTTTATTTAGCTGGTTTGTTGCCTGGTTTTAGCGGTATGTCTTTGTTGGCTTATTGTTTAAGCGCATTTTGTGGCCAACGAATGGCGTTTGTATCGGGAATGGTGAGGGATTGGGCCCTGCACATCCAATCAACCGAGCGTGGCCAACTCAACTCAATTCGACAACTAGTTCGGCGGCATTCGCTTTTCCGTTCAACTATCGAACCATTGTGGTATGTGTAGGTGTGGGGCTTAACGTGTGTGGGTGTTTGTTTTGCGAGGGTGTACGTGTTAGCCATGTTTTCCCCGTTTCCGCTGCGGCTCTTATTATGCAGCATCAATAAGCATTGTTTACCGCTGAGTGATGATTCGTCTGTCGTTATCTCCCTCTGCAGTATCTACCCGTTTCGCTCACACATTTTCCGATTGTTTCGGATATGTAAGCCTATTATTTAGCTTATTATTTTATTTTCCATGTACCTCATTTGTCCTCATTATATTTCGCAATGGAGGACCAAATCATGTTCCAGGCATAGCAGCCTCCAATTAGGTTTTAAAATGATTGATTAAATCAAATTCAGAACACACAAGCTCATATGTGCATTTCTTTAAACACATTCCCCACTCTTCCTATTACAACTTTAAGCGATAACAAGTTAATAGATCTTAGAATTAAAATAAAGAGTGCAATCAAATAGCCATTTCGGTAATTATAATTTGCCAAGCACATCGAAAAACCTGTGCCATTTTGATTTCAAGCTTTTAAATAAGTTAATGGTGCTATTTTCATATATTTTTTTACAGCATTTCATGACTAGAGCTGTCGGTCCTGACAACTGGCAAAAATAATTGAGAGATGTAATATTCAAATTGCTGAAAATTTCCCACAACTCAAGTGGGCTTTTATCTGCCCCTTAACTCTGTGAAATTCCCAGAACCATTTCCATATTCCCCCAATTGCCAGTGTATGGATATGGTTAGTTTGAACAAAAAAATTACACCTAAAATTTGATGCTCCCGGAATGTGGGCGATTGTAATTTAGGGTTGTGCAACGGGGCGTGTCCTCGCAATTGCGTTGATCTCCGCGAATGCGTGTGTTTTTCTGGTAATTACAGAAGGGGAGAGGGTAGGGGTCGAGCTTAAACCCCTGCCGATCCCCCTTCCAAAGAGCAGACGCATAAATTCCCGGCAGATGCCAACGCTTGAAAACAAGAAAATTGTGTTTGCATAATTTCGGGCTCATCGAGGGGTGTTGGTAAAGAGGTGATGGGTGGCTAGGGGTACATAAAAGGGGGTGGCACGGCACTCACCTCTTCATTATTCACTGTCCATGTGAGATTGGCCGCTGGCCGCGAGTGTCGCGATGTGCAATTACCTCGCAATATGTCGCCGACCCGATATCGAGGACGTATTCCCGCTATGAATGGCGCATTGTGCGGCGTTTCTGCAAGGACAAAAAAGAGGAGGAAAATGAGATGGCATCAGTTGAGAGGTAGACCGGATCGATTGTCACTATATTTTTGATACTCTGCGGCATTCGTAAAACCAAAATCCGGCCCGAGCATCTGACCCAACCTGTCGTCCTGTCAATTGGGATTGCTAAGTGGGTGTTTGTAATGTGGGCGTTTTTTCCCATCTTTCTGCGTTGGTATGTGTGTTTTCGTGAGTGTGTGGCACAATCAATAACCGACAGATGTTTGAGTGTGTGTCAGGGCCCATTTCATAATTGAAATAATTACGAACTCTCCAGGTCAGCAGAGTTGGAATTTTAATTTCGTTCTACGAGGATATCCAAAGCAAACCCCCAAAGTTTCTATCCCCAACACTTAGAATGGTCGCCATTTAAGTTTAAAACACAATAATATAATATTAATAACCTGGTTATTATGTCGATCTCAAAAAAACTTTAATTACTTTTGGGTTTGGAAAATGTGTCTAGATTTTGAAAACAAATCTCCTAATTAATTATACTTTCCTTAAAAATGTATGAAATATAAGGTTGCCTTTCTCTAAGTGCATCACTCTCAGTCTAGTCTTCCAAAAAACTAATTCTTCCTGCTGTCCATTATCCTTGAAAGTCAGAATGGAAACCAGCAGACACACATACCGCATCCATGTGACACATAAACATGAAATAGACACTTTCGAAAGTTTGTCAAGCCAATTTGAGCCCACCTACGTCAACATATCTACCCCACATAACCCACACATTCAGTTCGGCAGTTTATTGACCGTCTCTACATTGGCATTGGCAAAATGTTTGCTCTCAAGGCATTCATTTTGTTTGCCGGCTTAAATGTCTTCATCTTTATCTCGTTTACCCTCAAATTTGTTTGTATTTTGTCTGCTTAACTGCCAAAACATTCGAACTTGGAGTTTATTTTTAAGTTTTATGTCCACAATCCCCACACAAGTATTTCGAGTCCGTCTGAAAGGACTTCCACTTCCACTCCGACTTGGTCTTGGTCTGGCCAATTGAATACGACAGTTGGTCAAGTTGGCAAGTTTGCCGCAGTCTTTGACTCCGCTTGGAGGGAAAGCTAAACTTTTCTTGGTTTTATTTTTGGCTAGAGAAATACTCAAACTGAAAATTAATTTAGTTGAGCATTCACATTTTTGAAGATCTCAAATTGGTTTAATATTTGCACTCTAGAACTTAAAGTTGCTCAGTTTGTGTTCGTTTCGCAGAAGCCTCTATAATGCGATTCCCCGGATTCAGTTGCCCCTATTTGACAATTTAATCGGAAATGTTTCGCTCCTTATTTTTACGCGACTGTATTTTTCACTTACCAATAACTTCCAATTCTGCTGCCGCTATTAATGTATGAAATGAGGGCGCATCCGCCGATACTTCGCAACTGTATTTACCGGATGTAGCCATTGTTACCGCATCGAGCACCACTTGGCTCTCGTTCGAGGACATGCGCTGCAATAAAGTTAACAAAAACACCGGGGCTGTGAGTGGAGAGTGAAATAAAAGGAATATTTTTCAACTGTCCAGAGCTTACATATACCCATATTTATTTATACATATCGTTCTCGTTGACCAGATGAAAAATTTCAACAAACGTATCTCGTTGGATTACTTCCGGTTTCCATCTATATTCTTTTTGCACATATTTAATGCGGGCTTTCAATAATTGAGGTTAAAGAATGTACATATTCTTGTTTCTAGCTTAAATTTTCTTCTATTTGCGTCTTTTCCGTCCTTTCAACAATATATCATCACTTTAGATATAGTAAATAATATAAACTATTAAATGTTATAAAAGGGGTGGAACAAATGAAAATACATATCGTTTCATTTTTATAAAGTTTAACTTTTGTTATTATTGCTTTAGGAGTTTCTTAACTTCAAAAATATATTCTCTCGCGACCAGTTAAAAACGGTTTGATTGTTTTTATAACATTCGTGACTGTATATTGGCGAATTGCCGTTGGTTTTATATTTTCTTTTTCTATTGCTGGCAAACAATTCTATTCTGGCGCTATTTTCACCAATTCCAATATAGAGCAACTCTTCAAATGAAAAGAATGCTGTTTTGTCGCATTTTTTGTCACATGAGTTGGAAACAGAAATTTGAATGAAAAATACGAAATACACACAAAAGCAGTAAGCAAATAAATAAAATGCCAACGTGTTTCTTTATACGCCTGAATAATTTTCAAACCAATTTAAAAATGCCAATATTTATTGAAAAATATTGCCGGCTACGTCGAACGCATTTTGGAAACTGAAAAACGAAAAAAACTAAAAAACAAAGCTCAAGTCCCGAAAGGGAATTCAAAAGTTCGACAAACGTGGCCCATGGCATGTGGGCTTCTGTTTTTCCGGCTCCTAACTGCCATGAAGCGGAAGTTAAAAACCGTGTTTTGATTTGATTGCGCATTGAAATTTCACATGTGTCTGCCCCTCCTTGTTAACTGTAGCGTTTCGTTCGATTCAAATGCCCTGGAAATGCAAATGTTTTACATTGTTAAAGCCGCAACCCGTTTAGTTTAGTTTAATTTATTTGGCTTCGATTTTTGCTCTTGTTCCATCCTCTCTTTTATTGGCTTTTCAAATGGCATGAGAAAATTAAAATAAAATCACTGCCAATAATAAAGTTTCACTTCCCTGATTTATTGACAACAAAGAGGTGTGATTGGGAAATTTTAGAAATATGAATTAATACTCGCATATAAATTAACCGAGATTAAATCTATTTTTAGAGATTATTAGAAAAAATTGAAATAAAATGCGGTTTACGTTTTCCATTTCATAAGATAAACGAAAGATAATAGTTTTGAACTTACCCTGACTTTGACGCCTGGGAAGTGAAAAACCTTCATGGGCGGCGTTTCCTTGGGAGTATATCGATAGAACTCTCGCCTTCCCTTATACCATTTCACCGAGTACAGGCTGTCATCCTCGATGTCATAGAAGCATTTCAGGATGGCCTTCTCAGTACGCCGCACGGCGTGCGGAACTCGAACCCGGACATCTCGTAAAGCCTCGGTTAGCTCTGAAATGAAACAATAATACGGGAAATCAGAAAATACAATCCACCAACAATTATATATTTAATTATTTAAAGCTGCCATGCTTTCAGCGAAAAGGGACTAAACAAACAAGTCCCCTGGGCCGTGCCTAATAGAAATCAACTGGGGGCGATAAAAAATCATCGCGCTTCGCATTTTTAATTCACTGTTTGCTTTTATTTTATTATCATTTTAATTTTATTTTCGCAGCCTCTGTTCAGTGTCTTCGTTTTGGTTTACGGCATTGTGCATAATTTATTACGGACATTTTGCATTTTATTATTTGGAATTTTTATTAAATAAATCCCAAACGGATTTTATTGACTCGACAACTCCCAGGATATTTTAGATGGAGGTTTACCCTTTCGCATGATGCATGGTATGCTGAATTGTAAACTGGATAAGAATTCAATGTTCGATCTCATAAAAGCAAATTTTAAATTTAAAAATCATATTTTCTCAAATGTTAATAACAAATTGATTATCTTAGTTGTGTGACATCCGTAAACCAAGGAACTGAGCACCTTATTTAAGTTGAGTAAAAGTGATTTTAATTATATTTGCTATTTAAAAGGGTACACCAATATCGACCATTCCCTATTGAAATTTAGGAATTTTAATATCTAGTCTGATCACGTATTGACATGGCTTTCGGCATGGTTTTATGCCACAAATCTCTAACTGACTGAACACTCACATACCAATATGCTCGCTCGCACATACATATTTATAAAAAATATTTTTACCAGGATATTTCTGACATTTGTACGTATGGCTGATTTCCTGTTTTACTGCCACGGAATTTCCTTTTTTTTGGCTGGTCCTGGCTTGGCATTATAAATCAGATTATAACAAGCAAAGGGTAAAAACGGCCCATGTGTATTCAACACATTCCGTTCCACCTGTTTGCTTTCATTGTTTTCCCCAATAAAATATGAATAAATTGTAGCCTGATTATGTGAGATGAAATTAAAAATGATTTCATCCTCTTGTCGTAAAAAATGTAACGCTGCCGAAAGGCCATCAAACATTTGTCACACATCCATAAACTCGGTAGACAGAATTATTGTTTTTATTACTTGGAAAAAACGTTTCGATGAGGATTAAATGATTGATATAAACGTCTTAAGGGATTTAAATTTTCAAACGAATTATATTTAGGTGAATATTTAGATTATGTTAGTCGGCACTTATTAAAAATGAGCTGTAGGTTATTTTTTATATAATATATAAATTCAAGCCCAACTGGACCTGTCATAACCTAAGGGCCACTTCACATAAGGAAAGTCTCCCCATTTCCAATTACTCTGCCCTTGATATCCCCTCAACCTCTGAGGAAACCAAGTTGCCATTATAAAGCGATTTCCCCTGACTGCAACTCAATTCCCTTTCATTAGGTTAGAGTTTCCGGTTGTTCCTCTGTCATTTAGCGCCTTCTTCCTTCTGTGGGTTCCATTTCATGCCACACTAAATAGACAAGGTTGCAACAATCCGGCAACAAATGAATGTCCAAACAAGCCAGCACGACTGTGGGAGGTGCTTTGTAAATCCCATCAAATAACTGTAATTGCAAAGTTTTTACAGCCAGACACGAGGAGCACGCCTACAAAGCCCCCAAACTCGGAGCCCGGATCCTCGACCCTCCTCCAACTGGCAAGGACAATGCACATGCAACCCGGCCATTTGTCGGAGGTACGAAAGGAAGGCGGCGAATGGGGCTGGTCCCGCAGGACTCCTCCGGAGGAGGTGGAACTACGTCCCCACAACGTGTGCAATAAATATGAATAACGAGCACAACGTGAGTGGCACACAAAGTAAAAACAAGACCGCTCTCGACATCGCAGTGGCAGTGAAAAGGCAGATTCAGCAGGCCAGCCTGGGTACCCATCCCGCCTGCCCACACTCTACTCTAAATCCTTGGAGAGCATCCAACCTCATTGTTGGCGACACGCGGCAGCAAATATTTGCCTCTGCCGCTGCCTTTTGTTTAAATCTTGTTTATGCAACATGCATGGCATATATTAAGAAGTGCCGACCAGACCCGAGTGTCAAGCGAATGTCCAGCAGCGCTCTGATTTACACCAGGCCAACATTACACCACCATCTGCAGATGGGAAGGATCCAAGTGTCGGTTTGGCTAACAGATTGCTCTGCGGGCTGGTTCCTTTTGTCCAGGCCAAGGACTTAAGTTGGACTTGGCAACATTGTGTAATCGAATTGGACTGTGGTATCCAAATAGTAGTAGTATTCAAATCTTATAGGGCTTATTTTTTAGTATTATTTTTAGGTTAATAATATATTATTTACCTTCCTAAATTTATTTTTATAGGTGCAAATTAAAAGCGTCATTGTCTGTTTCTCTGCCTGGTGAGATTTTTGGACATTTAGTTGACCCTTGCAAAGAATAAACTTAATTTAGACCTTCGGTTATACTTTCGAAACTCTCAGCTGCTGAAATTATGACACTTTCTGTCAAAGCATATTTTGGAAACTTACTGCCAGCTAATTGAAAAGAGTGAAACTATAAAGAAACAAGCGGAAAGTTTGGCCAGGACTATGACCTGAACTAGCACATAATTTCCCTTCCACATGAACTCCTTGGGCAAGAGCAGCAGCATTTGCCTGACTGACCACACAGTGTACACGAAGGAACTATGAGTTTCTTGGCCAACTGGAAACTTTGCAAAGTACAAGTTTATGGAGCTTGGCTTTTGAGTTACACTTACACTTATGCAACAGATGGGCCAAGACTGCAAACTGGCATTTTAATTTTCTATTAGCAGGAAATTTTGTGTTGTTCAGCACTTACCCCCCAAAACCTTTTGGAAGTGTCTAGAGATATCTGGCGCCATATTCATCATAATTTGTGCTGACATTAAATATGTAAAATCCTATTCCGCTGTAACCCAATATGATTCGCAGCTCTTAGACCCCATCGAGCACTATTAGTGACTCGACATTGTGCAGTCATTACTCAGTCAGATTTGACTGCCATCTGGGGTTATCAGAGTCCCGTTTCGAAACCGAGGGAGGTTTATTCAGACGGACTTGACGCCAACGCGTCGGGGATGCTCATTCTATTTCTTCGCCCTTTTCGGGGGTGGCTTGAAAAATTGTTGACAATTTCAGCTTAATGCATTTTTATGTCACTTCTTCTGGTTTAGCGAAAATGAATGCCCCGGCTGTTGTTGTTTGTCCTGCACAAGCACAAACACAGCCACATTCACGGGACCACTCCGTCAGTCACAAACACATGAGCTGTAGTCCTTGCATTCGCAGAACCACCAATTCGGACCAAGTCGCCTCTCCCTTTTTTCCGGATCTCTGGAGCCATTCAACGTCGACATCCAGGACTCTGTCTGACTGTGTCTGTGTCTGTCCTTTGTGTTGATTATGAAATTTAAGGACAAAAACCCGTGACAGTCTGGCCGCCCCCTCATTTTTGTTTACGCTTAAAGAGTTGGCCTGGCTCCTTGGTGTTTGGCTTTTAATGGCACATTTTCCACTTTTCGGTTTGGCTTTTGGGGGATGCTACATTACAATTTAATGCCTTCCGCTCTGTAATTACGAACAGATTCGTAGAGGGGCATAGCCATATTGGACCAAATATTAAATAAATCTTTATAATACCTTTGGTGGTTTAAAAAGTTGGTTGCAATCAAAGATATTCTATATCTTCCAAGTTTAAAGTTTTAAAATCAATACATTCTATTTCTAACTTTAAAGGACACTAAAAATCTTATAAATCTTAGAATCAGATAGAGAGAGCCCTCAAAAGAAATCCAACAAGTTTCTGGCACTTCTTCTTAACAGTGCAAAACCCAAAGCCAACTTAACATCCTTGGCCATTTATTTAAAAACTAAATAAGACAAGCATCGCTAAATCGCCAACTAAGCTCATAAAATCCCACGAACAAGTGCCCGAGTGTAAAGCAACGTGGGAAATGTTCAAGTACGACAAAAAAAGAGAAGAATAAAAGGAGAATAGATAGTTGGGGTGAACAGGGAGGTTGTGGGGTGAAAAGCTATGAAAAAGTGCAAGGATCAAACAGTTGAAAGTGAGGCACACTCACATAGCTGGGCTAAATAATAAAAGAAAATAGGAAGAGCAAAAAATTCTGGCCTCTGGAATGAGTCGAAAAACGAAGGGACCAGCGTATCATGTGGTGTCTGGTCTCCTTTTAGAACCTACTCCCTGCCCGACAAGCCTCGGCTCCCGTTTCTAATCTAACACTGGAAATTGTGCAGGAATTTGTTGCAATGAGCTTTTTATTATCCTTTTTCGATCTCACATGTGTGTGTGTGAAATACTAGCTTCTTCTTTTTTTGGTCGATTTTTGCTCGCTTTTGCATTCATTTTCCAATGCGAAAGGCGAAAATTGCAGTGGCAGCGTGTTTTTCCTCGTATGGAGCACAGGTGGAAATTTATACTGTTACCATGTTTGCCACACCCCCAAACACACACACACCCTCTCACATACACAGAGTGTAGCGCCCAGACGTTCAAATTATTTGAGGATTTGTTAAATTTTCCGGGCTTTCTCTGCATTTTTTGTCCACCAACCTATTTTATTTTTTACACAATTTGTCGTGGCAAGGCGAACAAAATGGGCCACACAAGTGTCTGTTAAATGGTCGTTTAGGCCGAGGGGAACTCCGTTCGTGGACTGGGTGGGTTCAAGGTTTCTTTTTTGTATTTTACCGTTTTCTATCGCGAAAAGAGCTGCTGACTTGTTGACCTGTAAATAACTTGAGTTTAACGAAGAGATTAACGTTCCAGATTCGCCGGCGAATTTTTATACATTTTTTGTGAGCTCTCGTTTTACGAGGTATAAAAAACGGTTGAGTTTGTGAATGGAAAATGTGAAAAGGAGATTCACGAATTGCTGAATAGAATAGATGAAGCTTTAGATTTTTCTAACAAATTTAAATTAATGATTAAACTTTGGCTGCGTAAATAAATGATTTCTTTTTCAATTTTAAA